GTGTTCTCGGGGTGATGAGAGGTGTTGGGTTTGCGCCTGTCACGGATTCTGCCGAGGCTGCTCCTCCTCCTTGCTCAGGCAGGCTTCGGCGTTCGTCGTCCCCGGAGTACTAGCTACTGCCGATCGATGTTTCGGTGTTTGTCTTGTTCTGTCTTGAGTGGTTACACCTGTTCGCTGTTATGTTTGATTGTAGTCCCTATATTTACCCATGTCTCTCATTTGGTATTGTGTGTTATTGTTTTGTGTCTAGGCTGTATCGGCATTGCTGTTTTGTCGTATACGTGTATTTGTTTTCCTCCCTGTTAGGAGGTTTTGTTTTGTATGTTCTTTACTATTAGTAAAGTACGTCTGCTAGTATCTCTGTGTCCTGCGCTTGACTTCACTCACCGCATACACGTCGCCCCTTGACAGCGCCAGACACAGCGTTTTCCTTGATGGCCAAAAAGCTCAATTTTAGTCTCATCTGACCAGAGTACCTTCTTCCATATGTTTGGGGAGTCTCCCACCCCATCTTTAGGCTCTTTGTTGCATCTCTGATTAATGCCCTCCTTGCCTGGTCCGTGGGTTTTGGTGGGCGGCCCTCTCTTGGCAGGTTTGTTGTGGTGCCATATTCTTTCAATTTTTTAATAATGGATTTAATGGTGCTCCGTGGGATGTTCAAAGTTTCAGATACTTCTCCACAACTTTGTCCCTGACCTGTTTGGAGAGCTCCTTGGTCTTCATGGTGCTGCTTGTTTGGTGGTGCCCCTTGCTTAGTGGTGTTGCAGACTCTGGGGCCTTTCAGAACAGGTGTATATATACTGAGATCATGTGACACTTAGATTGCACACAGGTGGACTTTTTTAACTAATTATGTGACTTCTGGGGGTAATTGGTTGCACCAGATCTTATTTAGGGGCTTCATAGCAAAGGGGGTGATTACATATGCACGCACCACTTGTCCGTTATTTATTTTTTAGAATTTTTTGAAATAAGTTATTTTTTTCATTTCACTTCACCAATTTTGACTATTTTGTGTATGTCCATTACATGAAATCCAAATAAAAATCAATTTAAATTGCAGGTTGTAATGCAACACAATAGGAAAAATGCCAAGAGGGATAAATACTTTTGCAAGGCACTGTACGTACGGTCACTGTAGGGACGACGTCGTCGATGCACTTATTGATGAAGCCGGTGACTGAGGTGGTATACTCCTCAATGCCATTTGATGAATCCCGGAACATTTTCCAGTCTGTGCTAGCAAAACAGTCCTGTAGCTTAGCATCCGCGTCATCTGACCACTTCCGCATTGAGCGAGCCACTGGTACTTCCTGCTTTAGTTTTTGCTTGTAAGCAGGAATCAGGAGGATAGCATTATGGCCAGATTTTCCAAATGGAGGGCGAGGGAGAGCTTTGTACGTGTCTCTGTGTGTGGAGTAAAGGTGGTCTAGAGTTTTTTTTCCTTCTGGTTGCACATGTGACATGCTGGTAGAAATGAGGTAAAACGGATTTAAGTTTGCCTGCATTAAAGTCCCCGGCCACTAGCACCGAGCATTTTCTTCTTTGCTTATGGCCTTATACAGCTCGTTGAGTGCGGTCTTAGTGCCAGCGTCCGTTTGTGGTGGTAAATAGACGGCTATGAAAGATATAGATGAAAACTCTCTTGGTAGATAGTGTGGTCTACAGCTTATCATGAGGTACTCTACCTCAGGCGAGCAATACCTCGAGACTACTTAGAGCGCCAGCTGTTATTGACAAATAGACACACACCCCCACCCCTCGTCTTACTGGAGTAGCTGTTCTGTCCTGCCGATGCACGGAAAACCTAACCAACAGTATATTATCCGTGTTGTCATTCAGCCACGACTCGGTGAAACACAAGATATTACAGTTTTTAATGTCCTGTTGGTAGGAAATTCTCAAACGGAGCTCATCCAGTTTATTCTCTAGCACGTTGGCTAATACAACGGATGGTAGAGGCGGGTTACCCACTCGCCGACGAATTCTCACAAGGCACTCTGATCTCCGCCCTCTGTATTTCCCTAATTTCTTAATGTGAATGACTGGGATTTGGGCCTTGTCTGGGAGCAACATTATATCCTTTGCGACAGCCTCATTAAAGAAAATGTTTTGTCCAGTTTGAGATGAGTAATCACTGTTCTTCTATCCAGAAGCTCTTTTTGGTCATAAGAGACTGTAGCATCGACATTATGTACAAAATAAGTTACAAACAATGTGGAAAAACACACAAAATAGCACAATTGGTTAGGAGCCTGTAAAACGGCAGCCATCCCCTCCAGCACTATTCTTTGATACAGTGGGGGAAAAAAGTATTTAGTCAGCCATCAATTGTGCAAGTTCTCCCACTTAAAAAGATGAGAGAGGCCTGTAATTTTCATCATAGGTACACGTCAACTATGACAGACAAATCACATTGTAGGATTTTTAATGAATTTATTTGCAAATTATGGTGGAAAATAAGTATTTGGTCACCTACAAACAAGCAAGATTTCTGGCTCTCACAGACCTGTAACTTCTTCTTTAAGAGGCTCCTCCAAAATTCCAAAATTGTAGACCTGCACCAGGCTGGAAAGACTGAATCTGCAATAGGTAAGCAGCTTGGTTTGAAGAAATCAACTCTGGGAGCAATTATTAGGAAATGAAAGACATACAAGACCACTGATAATCTCCCTCGATCTGGGGCTCCACGCAAGATCTCACCCCGTGGGGTCAAAATGATCACAAGAACGGTGAGCAAAAATCCCAAAACCACGCGGGGGGACCTAGTGAATGCCCTGCAGAGAGCTGGGACCAAAGTAACAAAGCCTACCATCAGTAACACACTACGCCGCCAGGGACTCAAATCCTGCAGTGCCAGACGTGTCCCCCTGCTTAAGCCAGTACATTTCCAGGCCCGTCTGAAGTTTGCTGGAGTGCATTTGGATGATCCCGAAGAGGATTGGGAGTATGTAATATGGTCAGATTAAACCAAAATAGAACTTTTTGGTAAAAACTCAACTCGTCGTGTTTGGAGGACAAAGAATGCTGAGTTGCATCCAAAGAACACCATACCTACTGTGAAGCATGGGGGTGGAAACATCATGCTTTGGGGCTGTTTTTCTGCAAAGGGACCAGGACGACTGATCCGTGTAAAGGAAAGAATGAATGGGGCCATGTATCGTGAGATTTTGAGTGAAAACCTCCTTCCATCAGCAAGGGCATTGAAGATGAAACGTGGCTGGGTCTTTCAGCATGACAATGATCCCAAACACACCGCCCGGGCAATGAAGGAGTGGCTTCGTAAGAAGCATTTCAAGGTCCTGGAGTGGCCTAGCCAGTCTCCAGATCTCAACCCCATAGAAAATCTTTGGAGGGAGTTGAAAGTCTGTGTTGGCCAGCGACAGCCCCAAAACATCACTGCTCTAGAGGAGATCTGCATGGAGGATTGGGCCAAAATACCAGCAACAGTGTGTGAAAATCTTGTGAAGACTTACAGAAAACGTTTGACCTGTGTCATTGCCAACAAAGGGTATATAACAAAGTATTGAGAAACCAATTACTTATTTTCCACCATAATTTGCAAATAAATTCATAAAAAATCCTACAATGTGATTTTCTGGATTTTTTTTCCTCATTTTGTCTGTCATAGTTGACGTGTACCTATGATGAAAATTACAGGCCTCTCTCATCTTTTTAAGTGGGAGAACCTGCACAATTGGTGGCTGACTAAATACTTTTTTTCCCCACTGTTTATTACTAACAACATTACTAACAACAGCGAAATTAGCAATGTGACACAGTACAATGGACTGGGAATAGAACGTTCGGAAGGCGAGGTGGTGCTCAATAGAACTATACTGAACAAAAATATAAACGCAACATGTAAAGTGTTGGTCTCATGTGCTGATATAAAATATCCCAGAAATGTTCCATGCGCACAAAATGCTTATTTCTCTCCAATTTTGTGCAGAAATGTGTTTACATCCCGGTTAGTGAGCATTTCTCCTTTGCCAAGATAATCCATCCACCGGACAGGTGTGGCATATCAAGAAGCATTATCATTACACGGTGCACCTTGTGCTGGGGACAATAAAAGGCCACTTTAAAAATCTGCAGTTTTGTCACACAACATGCCACATATGTCTCAAGTTTTGAGGGAGCGTGTAATTGGCATGCTGACTGCAGGAATGTCCACAAGAGCTGTTTCCAGATAATGTATTGTTAATTTCTCTTCCATAAGCAGCCTCCAACGTCGTTGGATTTGGCAGTACGGCCAACCGGCATCTTCACCTGCGGGATCGTCTGAAGCCACCCGGACAGTTGATGAAACTGAGGATTAGTTCTGTCTTTAATTAAAGCACTTTTGTGGGGGAAAACGAATTATGATTGGCTGGGTGGGCCTATGCCCTCCAAGCCCCACCCATGGCTGCGCCCCTGCCCAGTCAAGTGAAATCCATAGATTAGGATATAATGCATTTATTTCAATTGACTAATTTCCTTATATGAACTGCAACTCAGTAAAATCTTTGAAATTGTTGCAATAGTTGGCATGGTGAAAAATGCCCTAAAATAAGGCCTGCTAACACCCGTGGGACAATTTACATTTGCAGCAGCACTACGACACAATGGTAGGGATTATCTGAGCAGGGCTGGGTCACTGATAAATCAATATGATTTGGCGTGTTTTTAGGGAGTTCCATCTTTGTTTTGGTTATTTTCCTAGTTTAGACCTGCTAGGGTGATGACTTCTTCCTCGGGAGTTGTAACAAAGCATTTAGCTAGTTGCCACACTGCCATCTAGTGTGTAGGAGAAGGGTTGACGACACTGGGACATTGTCTGCGAACTTGGTTCAACGAATGACTAACGTTAGCTTTAGTGCCGTGGCTGTCTCTATCAAGCCAGCTAGCTAGTTACTCCGAGTCCTCAAGAGATGTATTCAACCAACCAGAGAAACTACTGTAGCTAGTTAAGTATTAGTAAGCTAGTAGTAACGTTAGCTAGCTATCTATCTCTGTTAATGTCATGGAATTGCTGTGAAACTCCCTGGTAGGTAATGTATTCGTTAGCTTTGCCAGCTAACTTAGCTACAGTACCAGTTTGTACAGATATGTATTAATTTGTTAGGAATCTGTCTGTGTGCTAATTTTGGTTAGTTAGCTAGCTGATTAGCAAACGTTAGCAAGCTAGTTTGTTAACTAATGTTAACGTTATCTAACAGACCCGAAGTAGCTGCTAGTTAGCGAGAAGCGAGCTAGGTGTGGATTATGTTAGGCCAGGGTGTCTGATCCAGAATGTGAATATGCCTCTTGTCGTTTGTTTAACAGGATATGGCAGATTTGAGATGTCGGAAAACATTGGTAAAGGAGAGTGAGGAGGAACACCAGCAATGTGAATCTGAACCTCACTCAGAAAATAATGTTACAGGTAGCCAACCACACTCAGTAGGTGACAAGATACAACTGTATGATTTGGTGACCGCCAGGAAATAAAAGTATGTGGGTGAAGCTGTAATGTATTCCTTTTCTTTTACCAGTGGACAAGGTTAGTTTGAAGGAGAAGTGTTTGGAGGACACAGATGGAGCTGTCTGTGGGGCTCAGGAGAAAGAGGAGGAAAAGAAGGATGAAGATGAAAAGGAGGCAGACGGTCAGAAGCCCTCTCCTGTCAAAAGAACCCAGAGTGCCTGCAGATGTGAGTGGATCTCTTATTTACTCACTGGAAGGGTATGGATGGAGCCTCTCACTGATTCATCTCTTTCACCAGATTCTTCCTCCCAATGCTATGCGCAAATAGCCTGGGGACGAGGTTACTCACTCACTGACACAATCACACAGTAAAAGATGTGGGTGAGTGTGTGCGACTTTTGTATGACAATAACGTGATGTTCAAACGTACTCTACCCCCACTCCACAGCAGTTATGCTTCAGCGGCTAGTGAAGCTGTTCTTCGGATGCCTGGCAGCAGTAACATGTGGCATGATGTATGCTGTGTATCTCTACACCTACCACGAGAGGAAGTTCTGGTTTTCAAGCAGACAGGTGGGTAGCACTAGCCTGGCATGGGAAGGAGTGGAATGATAGCCTACAGCGGTGGTCACCAACCGGTCCATCATGATTGACTGGTCGATCTCCAAGGCATTCCTAGTTGATCGCCAAACATTTCTGTAAAAAAAAAGAAAAAAAATCCTTGCGTTCCTATTTTTTGTATTCGCTTCGCCCTGTTGGCGGTAGGTCCACTTGATTCAGCAGCCCTAGCGCCAGGAAGGCAAAGTGTTCCCATTTTGAACCATTTCATGTGTCTGAAGGTAGAACTCCGCCTACCCGGCAGGCCAAGAGAGCAAATCAAGTGCACCTATAGTTCTGCCGCTGGTCAATCAGATAACTCAGATCACCGTGTTTGCACAGTTTCCTCGAACCTTAGACTGGAAGAAGAAGCCTCGCCCAGCAAAGTTGATGCTGAGATTTCAAAACTTTTAAAACCATGATTAGAGAGAGACTCAACGAATACAGCAAAGACCTGCTATTTTTGTGTGTGTGAGTTAATGTTTAAGTTGTTATTCGGCACTGTCAACACTTTGTTCAACACCTTTTATAAGCCATAAAATGATTATTCTCCCTACTTCCACACTCTACAACCAGCACTGCAGCTGCAATGACTGAGTATAGCAAAGTGTTCCGATAAGCTTGCGTTATTATTAGTGGCTTGTGTCTTTTTTTATATTGAGGAAAATTTCACTTTCTCTGATTATAGGAGTAACAACATGAATTGGTGCATGAGGCAGAAATAATGCAGTGCGAGTTGAGTTTAGCCATCGGCTGGAAGACTGTGTCCCCTCAGCGGGTGGAGGGACGGTGAGTCGGGTGAGAGGCAGCCTCACCGCTGCTCCCTCCCTTCCCTCAGACTGACCATCAGATGCAGGCCATCAGTCCAGTAAAAAAACAAAGAAGCAAATTATTATGCTCACTTAGCTGTGCCTCGCAAGTAATACAACAAATGATCCATTACCAATGTGATCATATACCAATTTTATTTTTTATTTTTGTTATATATATCTGAGAAGAACAACATTGGCAGGGCAATTCAAGCATAGCCAATATGCAGTGATAATGTATTGGGCCTATAGCCTACTGCACAAACCTCATTGCTACAGAACTGTTTTTAATTGGTTAATGTTGCATAAGCTTATGTTTTTTAAGTCATGTTTAATACAAATCTGAGCAGTAGATCTCGGCTTGCATTTTGACTCAAAGTGATCTTGACTCAGTAAAGGCTGGTTACCACTGGCCTACAGACTAGTAACCAGGCTAGGGTAGCGCTGCGTCTTCCGCCATCCATTTGTCTCAGCCTGACAGTTGTTCTCTCTTCCTGTCCTGTCTCGTTCTCTCTTCCTGTCTGATAAACCGTTAGATAAGGGCAAGGTGTTAACAGGAATATGAACAGTGCTTACCCTGCCTTTTTGTGTTTATTTTGTATCAGGAGCTGGAACGGGAAATCACCTTCCAGGGTGGCAGTGGACTCTACTATTACTACTACAAACACATGTTGACAGCACCCTCCTTTGAAAGTGGTAATAGCCTAATCTTGCCCCAAACATGCCAGTATCCAATACATATCAGTGGTTTTGATATCCAAACCTAAGACAGCCTGCCTCACCCAGTCACAGTTCTACTGTAACACTATCATGCCATACTGTTAATACATTTACATTTACGTAATTTAACAGACGCTCTTATCCAGAGCGACTTACAGGAGCAATTAGGGTTAAGTGCCTTGCTCAAGGGCACATCGACAGATTTTTCACCTAGTTGGCTCGGGGATTAGAACCAGCGACCTTTCGGTTACTGGCACAACGCTCTTAACCACTAAGCTACCTGCCGCCACCAATACAATACATCTATGGTTTTCAGTGATCATCATCATCCTCTTTATTATTTCTGTGTTATGGATTTTTTGTTTTTCTGCTCTAGGGATATACGAGTTGACGAGAGACAACAGGACTGTGTCTGGTCAGACCATCAATGTAGTGGAGCGCCTGTCTCTGTACCCAGAACTTGTCACGAGTCTGCTCTATAGAGTCACAGGAAGCCAGGTCAGTCCACCACCCAGAGATAATCTCTTTCCCTTGATCAAAAAGATCTGACATGAACCTCTGGTTTTTGGCTGCATGGCAACTTGCGTTAGTTGACGCGCTGCCTACCCACAACCTGCAGTCTTATCACCCATAGAGATGCTGGTGATGTACTCTGTGTGTGTCTGACTGGTATGGTTTCCTCCACCCTGCAGGATGTAATAGAGCCAGTATACTTCTACATCGGGGTGGTGTTTGGCCTCCAGGCGGTCTACGTCACTGCCCTCTTCGTGTCCAGCTGGGTGATGAGTGGCACCTGGGTGGCTGGCATGCTGGCCGTGGCCTGGTATGTCATCAACCGGTGAGTGGGAGATGGACACAGTCGGACACAATGTCTGCGTCCCTATTCCCTTCGGTGTGCACTACTTTTGACCAGGGCCCTATGATGCAGGCTATGTCTGTATCCCCATTCTCCTGCCTTTTCCAGAAGTGTGCACTTGTACCCTCCCTGTCATGGATTTAAAAGCATAGGAGTGTTGTAAACACTGGCTGGAGGGTAGTTTCCACCATTGTTAAATCCATGAGAGCAAGTGTAAGTGTGTTGAATCAGGACACAGCCATTATCACCCGAGCCATGGCCCTTCTCCCCGCTTCCGTCACTCAGACGCGGGCAGTACAAGAGCATCATGGCTAAAACTAACAGACTGACCAATAGCTTCTACCCCCAGACCATCAGGCTGCTGAATAGCCACCACTGGTCAGCTACCTGCTCGCCCTGTCCCCCTCCTGCCCCTGTCCCCCTCCTGCCCTGGTCTTCCTAGGCATTTAGAGATTACAACATACCTTGTTTTAATTCTCTCACTGTTCATTCATTTTCTCCCCAGACCAGACACGACCAAAGTGGACTATGCAATTCCTCTGCGGGACAACTGGGCCTTGCCTTATTTCTCCTGCCAAGTTGCAGCCTTAACAGGATTCCTGAGTAATAACATTAACTCTGCCACAGAGGTGAGCTCCCTTTGCATTTTGCTCCAAATGTAATTACTTTTTAAACACCTAGGTAATTGGAGTACGGGAGAGGAATAGAGTGAAAAAAGAAAGAATGGCGCCAAAGTGGATGGCTGCTGTTTTACGGGCTCCTAACCAATTGTGCTATTTTTGTGTATTTTTTTCGCATTGTTTGTAACTTATTTTCTACATAATGTTGATGCTACCGTCTCTTATGACTGAAAAGAGCTTCTGGATATCAGAACAGCGATGACTCACCTCAAACTGGACAAAGATTTTTTTCTTTAATGAGTCTGACGAGAAGGATTTCATGTTGCTCCCAGTAATGAAATACAGGGGGCGGAGATCAGGGTGCCTTGTGATAATTAGTCGGCGAGTGGGTAACCCGCCTCTACCATCCGTTCTATTAGCCAACGTGCAATCACTGGAGAATAAACTGGAGAGCTCCGTTCGAGACAACGGGACATTAAAAACTGTAATATCTTATGTTTCACCGTGTCGTCACGACTCACGACCGTTTGCTGGGTTTTCCGTGCATCGGCAGGACAGAACAGCTACATCCGGTAAGACGAGGGGTGGGGGTGTGTGTCTATTTGTCAATAACAGCTGGTGCGCGATATCCAATATTAAGGTAGTCTCGAGGTATTGCTCGTCTCAGGTAGAGTACCACATAATAAGCTGTAGACCACACTATCTACCATTTTTATACCACACTATGTATATTTTTCGTAACTGTCGATTTACCACCACAAACTGATGCTGGCACTAATACCGCACTCAACGAGCTGTATATGGCCATAAGCAACGAAGAAAATGCTCATCCAGAAGTGGCGCTCCTAGTGCCCGGGGACTTTATTGCAGGCAAACAGAGGAAAAAATTACTCTAGACCACCTTTACTCCACACACAGAGACGGGTACAAAGCCCCTTTAACTTTTCCACATTTTGTTATGTTACAGCCTTATTCTAAAATAGTTTAAATATATATTTTTTCATCAATCTACACACAATACCCCATATTGACAAAGCAAAAACAGGTTTTGTATAAAATAAAATAAAAATGACATTTACAAAAGTATTCAGACCCTTTACTCAGTACTTTGTTGAAGAAACGTTGGCAGCGATTGCAGCCTCGAGTCGTCTTGGGTATGACGCTACAAGCTTGGCACACCTGTATATGGGGAGTTTCTCCCATTCTTCTCTGCAGATCCTCTCAAGCTCTGTCAGGTTGGATGGAGAGCGTCGCTGCACAGCTATTTTCAGGTCTCGAGATGTTCGTCCGGGCTCTGGCTGGGCCACTCAAGGACATTCAGAGACTTGTCCCAAAGCCACTCCTGCATTGTCTTGGCTGTGTGCTTAGGGTCGTTGTCCTTAGGGTCGTTGTTGGAAGGTGAACATTCGACCCAGTCTGAGGTCCAGAGCAGGAATTCTCTATACTTTGCTCCGTTCATCTTTGTTCGATCCTGACATGATACTGCCGCCACCATGCTTCACCGTAGGGATGGTGCCAGGTTTCCTCCAGACGTGACGCTTGGCATTCATGGCAAAGTGTTCAGTCTTGGTTTCATCAGACCAGAGAATCTGAGAGTTTTGGTGCCTTATGGCAAACTCCAAGCTGGCTGTAATTTGCCTTTTACTGAGGAGTGGCTTCCGTCTGGCCACTCTACCATAAAAGCCTGATTTGCGGAGTGCTGCAGAGATTGTTGTCCTTCTAGAAGTTTCTCCATCTCCACAGAGGAACTCTGGAGCTCTGTCAGATTGACCATTGGGGTCTTGGTCACCTCCCTGACCAAGGCCCTTCTCCCCCAATTGCTCAGTTTGGCCGGGCGGCCAGCTCTAGGAAGAGTCTTGGTGGTTCCACATTTCTTCCATTTAAGAATGATGGAGGCCACTTTGTTCTGGGGGACCTTCAATGCTACAGAAATTTTTGGGGACCCTTCCCCAGATTTGACTCCAAGTTGTAGAAAAAACTTTAGGATGATCAATGGAAACAGGAAGCACCTGAGCTCAATTTCGAGTCTCATAGCAAAGGGTCTGATTACTTATGTAAATAAGGTATTTTGGTTTTTATTTTTAATACATTTGCAAAAATTTATAAAAAACAGTTTTCACTTTGTCATTACGGGGTATTGTGTGTCGATTGATGAGGAAAAAATATATAATTTAATCAATTTTAGAATAATGCTGTAACGTAACAAAATGTGGAAAAAGTAAAGGGGTCTGAATACTTTCCAAATGCACTGAATATATCCCAACCAGAAGCCGTGTATTATTGGCAACATCCGCACCGAGCTAAAGGCTAGAGCTGCCGCTTTCAAGGTGCGGTACACTAATAAGAAATGCTGCTATGCCTTCAGACAAACCATCAAACAGGCAATGCGTCAATACAGGACTAAGATTTAATTCTACTACACCGGCTCTGACGCTCGTCGGATGTGGCAGGGCTTGCAAACTATTACAGACTACAAAGGGAAACCTAGCTGCGAGCAGACCAGTGACACGAGCCTACCAGATGGGCTAAATGCCTTTTATGCTCGCTTCGAGGCAAGCAACACTGAAACATGCATGAGAGCACCAGCTGTTCCGGACGACTATGTGATCACGCTCTCCATAGCCGATGTGAGCAAGACCTTTTAAAAGGGTCAACATTCACAAGGGCGCGGGGCCAGACGGATTACCAGGCTGTGTACTCCGAGCCATGCGTGGACCAACTGGCAAGTGTCTTCACTGACATTTTCAACCTCTGCCTGACCGAGTCTGTAATACCTACATGTTTCAAGCAGACCATCATTATCCCTGTGGCCAAGAAAGCGAAGGTAACCTGCCTAAATGAATACCGCCCCGTAGCACTCACGACGGTAGCCATGAAGTGCTTTGAAAGGCTAGTAATGTCTCACATCAACACCACCATCCCAAACCCTAGACCCACTCCAATTCACATACCGCCCCAACAGATCCACAGATGACGCAATCTCAATCACACTCCACACTGCCCTTTCCCACCTGGACAAAAGGAACACCTATGTGAGAGTGCTGTTCATTGACTACAGCTCAGCGTTCAATACCATAGTGCCCACAAAGTTCATCACTAAGCTAAACAACACATCTGCCACGCTGATCCTCAACACGGGGGCCCCTCGGGTGCGTGCTTAGTCTCCTCCTGTACTCCCTGTTCACCCATGACTGCGTGGCCAAGCACGACTCCTCCAACACCATCATTAAGTTTGCTGACGACACAACGGTGGTAGGCCTGATCACAGACAACGATGAGACAGCCTATAGGGAAAAGGTCAGAGACCTGGCAGTGTGGTGCCAGGACAAACTCTCCCTCAACGTGAGCAAGGCAAAGGAGCTGATCGTGGACTACAGGAAAAGGAGGGCCGAACATTCCCCCATTCACATCGACGGGGCTGTAGTGGAGCGGGTCACATCACCAACAAACTATCATGGTCCAAACACACCAAGACAGTCGTGAAGAGGGCACGACAACGCTTTTTCCCCCTCAGGAGACTGAAAAGATTTGGCATGGGTCCTCAGATGCTCAAAGTTCTACGGCTACACCATCGAGAGCATCCTGACCGGTTGCATCACCGCCTGGTATGGCAACTGCTCTGCATACGACTGTAAGGCGCTACAGAGGGTAGTGCGTACCACCCAGTACATCATTGGGTCCAAGCTTCCTGCCGTCCAGGACCTATATACTAGGCGCTGTCAAAGAAAGGCCCAAAAAATTGTCAGACTCCAGTCACCCAAGTTATAGACTGTTCTTTCTGCTACCGTACGTCAAGCGGTACTGGAGCGTCAAGTCTAGGTCCAAAAGGCTCCTTAACAGCTTCTACCCCCAAGCCATAAGACTGCTGAGCAATTAATCAAATGGCCACCCGGACTATTTTCATTGACACCCCCACCACCCCCTTTGTTTTTACACTGCTGCTACTTGCTGTTTATTATCTATGCATTTTCACTTTACCCCTACTCCTGTACATATGACCTCGACTAACCTGTACCCCCGCACATTGACTCTGTACCGGTACCCCCTGTATATAGCCTCATTATTGTTATTTTATTGTGTTACTTTTTATTTTTTACTTTAGTTTATTTAGTCAATATTTTCTTAACTCTATTTTCTTAAAACTGCATTGTTGGTTAAGGTCTTGTAAGTAAGCATTTCACGGTAAGGTCTACACCTGTTGTATTCGGCGCATGTGACAAATAGAAATTGATTTCATATGCTTTTTTAGCGCTTTCAATTGAATTGATTTAAAAGCTGTAAACTCATCAGTATGTGTGTGGAAATATGGAATATAGAGATATTCTAAGTGTGTCTTTGAAAGCTCTTCATCATACCCCATGTTGGATTCACCTTATTGGTAATATTGACATGATGGCTCTCCCCTCTGTGTTGTAGATGTTCTGTTACCTCCTGATGAGTGCCACCACCTTCATCTTCATCCTGGTGTGGGAGCACAGTCACTACGTGCTCTTCATCCAGGGCCTGGCCCTGTTCCTGCTTGACTCCTTTGACCTGGTGCCGCCCCGCAAGGTACTGACTTACTGCCATCAAAAGTTATTGTGATATTTTGAAGACCTATTTGCTGACTTGAAATGCTGACTTCCGTCTTCATGGTTGTTGCAGATTAAACATTTGCTTTACGGATATTTTGGTGTGATAAAATGTCTAATTATTCAGTCAATTGGATCTCTTTCTCTCTCTCTCTCTCTCTCTCTGTGTGATTGACAAGATGGCTGACATTCACAAGGTGTACCTGAGCTCTCTGCTCCTGGCCTATGTCCTCCAGTTCCAGAACCCAGCCCTGCTCAGCTCCCCTCTGCTCAGCCTCCTCATCAGCTCTGTGCTCGCGAGGTACTTCCAGGTAGAGATAGCTTCTCACTCACTCTGTGGAACCAAATGGAAGTTAACTTACAGCTCCAAAGCCTAATTTCCACCTTTCACACAAAATGATGACACAAAATGATGAAATATTGAACGTTTTCAGCAAAACATGAAGATGGGCCCCCTAGTGGCCAGACTGATAAAGATCTTTCTGCATTTCTACCTTTGCTTCACCACCGGGATCACTTTCAGCTATGTGGTCAAGGTGAGAGTCCCTGAGTTTAGGTTCAGTTTCATCAATATTGTAACATTGATTAAATATGGGAATGTACCCTCTGTGGATGTGTATCTGGAAGGAAATTGCAATATCTGATTAACAAACACACCACATATTGTATTAGATGGGATTTCATTTGACAAATCAATATTTGAATATAATATGCTTCTAATTTGATTTCCAGCGACTAATGCCAGTCAGTGAGAGTGATTTCATTTTGAAATTTCTTGAAGTGAAATTCGGACTCAACACAACAACGTGAGTTCAACACTTTCAAACTTAGAACTGACCCAAATATTTGGCATTCAGCAATAAGACAAAGATAAGGTCATTCTAGTGTAAGTGGCCTGTAAGTCTTAAACTTCAGTTTACTTCAGTATGCATGTAGTAATATTAAGTGTTCAATCATAATGTTAACTAGCAATGAACAACATTAAATATAAAATATTCACTAAATATTGAATGGTTTCTCTTCCTCAGAGACTTTGTGACCAACCGGCTCCTGTGTCAAGAATGCTTCCAGACGCCCAGTCAGGACTTTTTCCTGCGGCTGACCCAAGCATCAGTCCTGCCTTTCTACTTACTGGTCCTCCTCATCTGTCTCATATCAACACTGCAGACCATCTACAGGAGGCTCAGGTTAGAAACTACACGTAGTAGACGGCAAGAGAAGCTGTTGTTTTGTGTTCTCATAATATGGTAGGTTTGAAATAGGAAGGTTTTTGTATGACTGTTCAGTAATTCCTGTATCTCCATAGTAACAGTGGTGAGCCAATGAAAACAAACCTCCGACTCGAAGATGGACGAATAGGAGAGCAACCAGAGGTCGTCTACCATGTTTTCCACACAATTCTGTTTGGGGCCCTCGCTATGTCCTTTGAGGGGTATGTTCCAAAATGATTCAGGCGTACTTGCTATATAACCTGTCAGATCAGCAAAAAAATGTCTGTCCTTGTTCACGTGTTGTTCAACTATGGATTGATTCTCCCACAGGATGAAGTATTTGTGGACCCCATACGTCTGCATGTTCACAGCGTTTGGTGTGTGTTCTCCAGAGCTCTGGATGACTGTGTTCAGGTGGCTGAGGCTGAAGTCCATCCACCCTGTAGTACTGGTGAGAGAGGCATTTTTTTCCATTCAGTTAGCTCCAAGCGCCACAACTTCTACTCTTTAAGTGGGGACATGCCTCCGGCTCCACACTCATAGCTAACAAATAGATTCCGGAATACCGAACAGTCCCTTTACAAGTCAGAATGTTGAATACATTTTATTTGAACTTACTCTACCGGTTGTCCTCTGAGTTTCGTCCTTATGCCATTGGAACTTTGAGACAAAATATCCACAGCAAAGTATTATTAAACCGACTTCAAAACGTGGGTCTCTGCGTGGCTGTCACGGTTTGTTTGTTCATCACCTGAGGCACAACGACGACACAGTGTTTCACCCATTGAGTGATAAGTGCTTAATTCCAGTATCACGTGAGCAGGCAGCCGCATATAAACCCTGGATGACTGACACGGGGAGCTGTATTGAAGCCACCTCAGAACCAGCTTGATACTCAATTGTAAAAAAAGATTTTGGAAGCTAGCTATAGAAATGCATTTATGAATGTCTACATTCATTTTTTTTATATGTTTATTATATTACAGACACTTTAATGCATACTTTTCAATTATATTATTTGAGCTAAACATAAAAATGAAAAAATATATATTAATTTTTTTGGAGAGTATTAATGTTACTGTGCCCACTACAACAACAACATACTTAAATACATGTAATTTTGTCCTTGAAACATTTAATTGAAATACTGTAGAATTTCATTCATTCATATAGAGCCCCACAGTGAATTTGTCATAATACCCATAAAACCTAGCGGTGAAACAGGGAAATGGTTCCAATCGTTTTTCCACCATACATTTTTCTCGTAGGGAATTTTAGAAACACTTTTCATGTAGGCTTACCCTGGCGTGACATTTTGATAACCATGTAAATCTGTCTTGGACAAGGAGACTTTTAGCAATATATTTTTCTCTATTTACTCTGAATCGAAAATGCTAAATACCATCAATGTAGACATGCAAGACTACAAATCCCTGCCAGCTCCTGCAAGGCATCGCTAGCTGACACCTTTGCTAACAGGTATTGTGTCAATTTAAAACTTGCACAAGACAGTTCACAGAATTGTCAATTTTAAAGAAATTTAGCCAGTTTATTCATTACTAAATTAAGCCAACATTAGATAGTTAATCCAGAGATTCTCACCTTTGCCTCGATTCGGCAGTCTCGTCCAGATCATCATGGCATTTGTAGTTCTTTATCATAGCCACATTAGCTGCTAATTAGCATTTCATTTTTGGGGGGGGGATAAATACAGGCGAATATATTTATAAAAGTCACTTTGTCCTAGAGAGATTTACACGGTTATCAAAACGTCACGCCAGGGTAAGCCTACATGAAACACAGCCCTTATTTTAAGTGTTTCTAAAATCCCCTATGGGACAATTGAACGGTGGAAAAACGATTGGAACCATTTCCTTGTTTGACCGCTAGGTTTTATGGGTATTACGACTCATACTGTGGTAGTCTATGGAGGACTGCTTCTACTAGGGAGTGCCAGTATGGCCGACCGGTGGCTTCAAAGCCTCTCAATGGCCAATACATAGCGTCAGCAATCCAGGGTTTATATAGGTCATTGGCCGCATCCCCTATCCAGCCATTAGCCTACTTAGCCGCTTCTTTCCGTCCGTTCTTTCTGCGCATCTCCATCAATTTTAAAAATTATTTAGCCGTGATGGCGAGCTGGGGGTGTGCAGACAGGGTAGGGGTTTCCGTTACATTCGTTTCATTATTGGAGCGGCTCGCAGCGTGATCAAAATTTCGCTTGAAAGAACAAGTAGGTCAGTCTGACTAGGCTTCGCTGTCATGCAGCCATAGAGACATGTTTTAGCAGTGACAGTCATGCTTACGCCTTTACATCACTGAAAACCGTGAGTTTCTAGCCCAAACCCAATTCTACCGTGAATTGGTTCACGTTATTTAATTTTTATAAACAATGTCACGGGCCGTTTTAAACTACTCGTGGGCAGCGAGTTTTTGGTTTGATAACAAACAACCTTGTTTAGTCATACTACTTGGCTAGCTAGCTAACAACATGGTACCCCTTGGCTATGCACACATTTGGATGGCACAGGAAAAATGGAAAAGGGATATATAGCCAACTCAAAGAGATGCTTCAAAGGTAGGATGCATATGCCTAATCACTGAATGAAAATATAAACGCAAAATGCAACAATTTCAAAGATTTTACTGAGTTACAGTTCATGTAAGGAAATCAGTCAATTGAAATAAATAAATTAGGCCCTAATCTATGGATTTCACATGACTGGGTGTTATGTGAATTATTTAACAAACTATTTTAGTGTGTCTGTGCGTCTCCCAAAAGGTTGTAAGTCTTTTGGGATTTAAGTAACGGCCAGAGTCCCGGTCTGCATAGTCAGAGATATTTATTCATTGAGAATTCTGAAACAAAATGGTGGTACAATCCTTTTATACACATAAGTCATACTAAAAATCCTGCCCCCCCCCCCCCCCCCCTTAAGCGGCCTGTATTTTTCCACTATACACATCTTGTAAACACACACACACCTCGGCTCAGCTCATGTTTTCCTCTGCTCTCCTGACCATCACTGTTCTTATCTTTTCCCACTCCTTGCTCGGCCAGGTGCAGATATCGCATCCTCCCTAAATTGGGAGGCCCCTTTATCTTGGTTTAGACAGTTCTCCATTGTTGTCTGGTCTAACTCTTACTCACATTGCTAAATAGTAGCTCAATGGTAGCTTACTGGTCCTACACTCACACATTTCTAACACATTATACACAGTTTCAGGGTGTAATAATTAGTTATTAATAATTAATCTATCAATCCACCCTTTGACTTAATATTAAGCACATACAAAATATATGTTGTTATAGAAATAAATCACACTCATTGAAGTATATAAGTTGGTTTGCATATAAAAACATTAAAAAGTGTCTCATTCAATACAGGTTCATCAGGGTTACCCCATGATTAAAAGCGTAATGTTATTATTTAGCAATGGTACCTAACCTGTTTACCCACTATCTGGAAACAACAGTCTAAGCCTATAGTGAAGAACATTTGCTTCATCACATCCTGCAATATTGATTAATTAGTACATCATACTTAAAACGAGACTTTAATACACAAAAGTCATTACAATAACTTTTAAACTAGAGATTTGTAGTTCTAGGTTAACATCCAATCATAGCTCTTCGTTAGATTTTCACTGCAACCTTCACACATTAGAACTAAGAAAAGTTTCATCCAGTCTCAAACTATCTGAATCGTCGTCATCCTCCACCAAGCCTGGTAGGTCATATCCTTCATTCCTTAGGTCGGAGTCCGGGATTGGGCCGTATCTCACCATCTGTTGGGAAACTGCCTTCTCCATCGCCTTGCTCACCAACCCTCGGACACAGGGAATAAGACAACATCCACAAAGAACAAGCATACCCATAGAAGCTATAGCTGCACCCAGAATAGTTACAACAATAGTTTTCCATTTACCAAATATGTTATCAAACCAACCGTTTAGGGAGCTATCAATACCAGAGTTCTCAGCCAGTTCGTTCGCCAGCGTGGTGAGTCCCTGAAGCGCTTTGGTCACGGACCCGTCCGGTGCTGTATTGTTGGGGATGAAAGTACAGCACATAGATCCAAACAGAACACAAACTCCGCCCCGCTCAGCCAAAAGCATATCTAAAGCTATTCTATTCTGCCATGCCATTAAGCTAGTTGCCGCTGTCTGCTCAGCCAATCCCTTTATTGCATCACGAGTGTGGTTTATAAATCTTTGCTGGTTATAGTAAATATAATTTATCCAATCTACGTTTTTATTAATTGTTGACCACCAGAAAAGACTTGATTCAAACCCAGCTGCGATCTGATTCCTAGCTTTGAATTCTTCTGGAACCCCTCGAGGTACTCCTATCCCATCAATATATATCCTTTCATCAAAGGATCCCGGGAGGAGGTCCCGCTTTCTACGTGACAACTCACCAGTCTCTGACACGTTTGATTGTTTGATGAGAGTGAAGGGCATTACCAGCTGAGCTAGCGCACAGGTTCCTGTCCAATTAGTATGTAGGTGAGGCCACAGTCTGTCATCACCACACAACCACCAGATGTCAGCACGGGCCTGGTTTTGGTTCCTAAAATCCTCTGGCTGCAACAAAGAGGAGAGATTAGTCATGGTCTCTTTAGTTGTGACATTCTCTGTGTGGGAGCAGGAGCTAAGATGCCCTACCCTGTATCCTATTTTATCAGTCCTAGAGAAACAATAGTAAGAATCCCCTGAGACTTCAAACGGAGGTAACCTAGGTCGGGGTGACTTTGTTATCGGGGGATACAGATAGTGCAAGTTACTACAAGACTCCTTCACCACATTCCCAGGTGGCTTGAACAATTTAATCATGCAAGATAAACCTGACGGAGAGTTAAAGCCCGTCAAGGGGAACGGAGTAGTTGTTAACCTTGGTTTGGCTGTCCCACAGGCATAACAGTCCTCTTTAGACATAGTTCTTGCCGTATACTGAATCCATTCCAACCACAGGTTAGGATCCCTGTACCCCGTCTCCACCTGTACTACTTCCTTCAGGTCTATAGTTTGCACTATCTTCACCACGGCCCCGGTCTCACTACCTCCCTCAGAGAGGTTTACTCTATATGGTGCCCCAGTTGAAGAGGATATCTCACTTGTCAGGTCTGTAACATCTGCTGGGTTGATTACTACCCAGAAAGCCACTAATGGGTCTCCACAACATTTGCGGTCAAATCCTATGTACCACATTCCCTCATCCGTAGCCTTTACCTGTTTTAGCGTAATTCGGACTTTCAGACAGTACCTACCCTTATATGGGTCGCTCTGCCATTTCTGGTAATTCCCTACTTTCACAATACTCCACCTGTCCTTAAACTGTGTATGGAGATTGACATATCCCCCTCGCTCGGTATGAGCAACTACATGGTCCCAGGATGTACATGGTGACATACATATACAGTGGAGAGAACAAGTATTTGATACACTGCCGATTTTGCAGGTTTTCCTACCTACAAAGCATGTAGAGGTCTGTAATTTTTATCATAGGTA